CTGCCCCTGGCAGCAGACTCAGCAAAGATTCAGTTTCGGAACATGCAGAAATCCCCTTCCCACCCAGGCTTTATGAGTGAATTAGAAAAGGGGAAGGAAGTAGGGTGGGTCCCCAGACTTAACAAAGGAACTGAAGAAAAGCGGGAGCGGGTGTGTGTGGCAGAGACTGGGTCTCTTGGGAAGGATTTGCTGAGCATAGCTTTCACAGATACCTACAGACCCTCACTGCCAGAATTTTGAGATTTAGGCTGCCGGTGTTTCAGCTAGTGGCTGGTATTTCTATTCTGAAAGCCACATTTCCGTTTTTTTTTTAAATTTTTTAAATTTTTTGATGAACTGCCCAGTGGATTGCAGGAAGCAGGTTCTATAGATAGAACGTGCAGCATGACCATCTCACTGATCTGGAGAGTGAACAGTGCCAATGCTTTATAAATCTAAGCTCAGTGTACCCAAAGTTCTCTTCCCATTGCCCCTTTCCCATCTCCTCTGCTACAGTCCCTTTGCACATGTCCCTCAATCTCCTGCCCCCAGGGCTGCCTCTAACTCATCCCTTCCTCCTCAGAACACTGTCCTTCCTGCCATCTCCTTGTTTTCCTGCCATCTTGCTCACTGTCCTCTCAGGAGGACTGGCCAAAGAATGACAATCTCCTTAGAGAGTGCTCCAGAGATGATCCGACCAGAGCTTGTACTCATGGTCCAACTCTGCTCTGTAACTTCTCAGTTTCTACTCTGTCAAACTGGAATGATGTCATTGACCAAACTGAAGCCTCCTAATCCTTTTCTGTTTGTTTGGTTTTTGGGGCCACACTTGGCAGTTCTCAGGGATCACGCCTGATGGTGCTCAAGGGACTGTACATGATGCCAGGGACTAAACCAGGTCCAGCTGCATGCAGGAAAAGTGCCATGACGACCCCTGTTCTATCCCTCCACTCACACGTCATTTTTCATAGAAAACTCACAACACCAAGCCGTCAATTATATTTAGAATGAAGTGAAATTTCTCAGCCCTCAGAATTTTCCGTAGTTTGGTCCCAATCTTGCTTCCCACTTCCTCTGCCTTCCTTCCTCTGCCTCTTTGTTGCCATTTTTTTTCCCCTCCTCAACTCTTGGTATACTCTAGTAACATGGAATGATTTGATTTTTGGGGAGAAAAATGTACTTTTTTTTTAGCACCAAAATGGTTGGTCACCTTTGCAGAAAGCTCTGTAAGACATTTACCTTAAGGTTTAGAGATGTGTATAGCTTAATAGTATTCTTCCACTAAGAATAATTTTCCTCAACTTGTTTTTTTTTTTGAGGGTGGGGGTCGATGGTCAGAGCTTACTTTTGGCTCTGTATTCTGTGGTCTGCGATCACTTCTGGTGGTTCCTCGTGGGACCATATGTGGTACCTGGGTCAGTCACATGCAACTTACCATCAAAATGACTCCCAACATCTATGACTTGTCATTGCCCATTGTTAAAGCCCTTCTATAGCTTTCGTCTAACTCCTGACAACTTTCTAAAGGTCTTCTCCAAAGCTTTCCGATGCATCACTCATTTTTCCCCCTTGAAATCAATGCCAAAGAGATCTTAGCAAGACCATATCTGATAATGCCAGTTCCCTTCCTTGTGGCTTGTCATTGCCAGAAAGGCAAGTCCAAACTTTCTAGGGTGGTTTAGAGTCTTTCACAATTGAATTCCAGCCTCCGTCAGCCCACCCTCCTCCGTGCTTTTCGAAGCATCTGGGCTCAAGTTATGCGTCTTCCAGCCAGTTCCTCTGCCAGAAACATTCTCCCTGCCCTTCCCTTCTGTGACATTAGTCATGCTTTAAGGTCAAGCTCAAAGGACAAATTTCTTCCCCTGATATAATCATAAAGACTAGGAACTGTGACGCTTTCATAAGAGGTAATTTCTTTCAAGTGCTAAAATCAGATGTTTAGGAGAAAGAGCAAATTTCTGTCTCATTTTTCAAGGACTCATGAAATAATTTTCAACACTTAGCAATAAGAGTTGGCTAATTTTGCCAAAGCCAGTGAGTAGAAGATAGGAAAAACAAGTACTTTGAGAGTGATAATTGAGCATTTAGCTTTTATTTAAAAGTGCAAAATCACTTGGACAAAAAGCACAGAATGAAGGGTTTCCTAATTGCATGCCTTTATAATCATGTTTGTTACCAATTTAAGGAAATATTAGTTATGTCTACTCTGAAAGCAGTAAGTCAATTTATAACAACATGTACCAGCAGCAAGTTTTATTTTATATAGTCGAGTATCTCATATGCTATGGTTATTCAAAGTTGCTTTTTCATTTGGGTGCACTGATATAAAATGGGATGTGGTATGATGGAACTGGAGGAGCAGAGCAGTTCAGGAAAATAGAACGATTTCATAGACTATTTGGATGTTAACTAAAATTTGACCACGGCCCACTTAACCCAGGAGTTGTAGGTGAAGCAGATAAAGTGCTTTACATACATAAAAGAAAGGAAATCTGCATGGAATGCCAGGGTTTGGTCCTTATTGTTGCTGTTAAAACAAGCAAAGGAAACTGCAGATTGAGGTTTACACTAAGTAAACTGCGGTTTCCTCTGTACATGCTGAGTGCTGCAGCTGAGATTTCACATGACGGGCAGGGGGCCACTATTGGAAGGGAAGCAAGGGCAGGGGAATGGAAGCACTGCTCCTGTCACCTGAATGCTGTGAACCTGATGCATATAAATAAAGGCTTACGTGCATCAAATGTTAGATTCTCTGACAGGCTAATCAGAGAACCTAACAGATGGTTTGGATTCCTAATAAATTAGTATAAAAAGTGCAAACATCTAGTATCAAGTAATACATTTGGTAGGGTTTCTATAGAAATGTCAATTTTGAAAGCTGATTCGTTTACCTGGTATGAAGACTTAGGGATAATGCCACAGAAAAGAGAAGTTTATAGGAGAAGTCTACCTAGAAAGAGCCATAATTCCAATGCATATCAATGGGCTACTTTCGCTTGAGAAGCATAAACATTCAAGACCATGGATGTTAGTGCATTCATATTAAGACATCCATGAAAACAAAACCCTCACTATTGAGGGTGGGGAGATAGTAAAGCAGGTAGAGCACATGCCTTGCACACACCCCACCTAGGCTTGATCCCAAATACCACGTATGGTTCTCCAAACCCCACCAGGAGTGATTTCTGAGTCAGAGTCAGGAGTAAGCCATGAGCACCATCGGGTATGGCCCCCAAACAAAAACCAACCAAACAAAAAAATAGTCTACTGTTTTCATTTACACTCTAAAATGTTTACAAATAACATAAGTAAATAACCAGAGCAAAGGGATACATCTTCTCCCACTAAATTCTGTCCCGTGTTGAAGCTTTTCAATTATCAGCATCAAATTCAGATTTTTATTGTTATAAATTTTAAGTATAATCATACTTTCATTTACTGTACCTAGAACATTCTGGATTGAACTAATATAAGACAAAGGAAACTCAAGTATTTTTTCTATAAAGCTGTAGAAAGTTGTGGCCTAGAGCAATCTTGGCGAAGTGAAACAACGGTTTCAGTTTAAAAGATTATGGCTTGCTCTCAGGCTGTCTCTATTTCATTAAATTAAATATTCAATCCATTACAAAAGACATCACTCATTTTAAGGGGGAAATATGCTCACAATTTAAATGAGACATGTTGTCATACGAGCAACTGTACAGAATCATCCAACTTTCTCAGCTGCCAAAATGTGGGGGGCAAGATACACCTTAAAATAAGTACAACACAGCCTTAAGAAACTTGCTCTTCAGATTAAAATGCATCTGAAGGGACATTGTTTTGAGAAATTCAAAGCACACACAACGCTATCCAAATATTCTAAGGAGGAGAGAGGTTAGGAGGCAGACAGATCCTGTGACTATCCAAGGCACTTTCAATCCATTTGACAAAGTTCTGAAGCTTTTGGAGGGGACCCAGCAAGGTGAAGACTCTGGAACCTTCCATTCAAACTTAGAGTCAACCGCCATTCCTAAAATATTTCATTGACAAAACTCTGGAAATGCTCCATTATTCTTCCCCTCTAGACGCCAACCGCCACAGCTGGATATTGCAGTTAGGGCTGTGCTAGACTCTTAAACAGCTGCCTGCCTCCAACAGCTCACCTCTTCTGCCCACCACACACTGACTTCTGCATAGATGGTCCTGGAGCAGAAAGAGAACGGAGCAATTTTTTCCTTCTTGGAAAGTATTGAAAATAAAATTCCAAGGGGGAGGCAAAAAAAAAAAGTCAGAGAAAAACATGTTTATAAGCACTGAGGAATTTTCCTCTTGCACGAATGATCCTGGAGGGTTCGGCGGGCACCAAGAGAGTGCCGGCTTAAAAACAACAAGCCACAGTCCCTGGACAACAATGTCTAGTTGAAGAAAGCTACCCCATTGTCTCCCCCGAGAGTAGTGGTCTCAGCTCTAAGGCCATCTGAATAACTGCTTTCAGGAAGGCCGAGCTGAACGTCCCTTTCCTCTGGTTTAACTACATCCAAACAATATAACTCTTGTTGGAATACAAACATTCAGAAGATACAGGGAAAACTCCCCTCTGACTCTCCCACTTGGAGAGAACATCAGTAACATGTTTTTCTCTTCTTTTCATGGATATGTTTTTGTTTGGTCAGCTCAACTCCACCGATATCACACATACACACAAGTCCATGGAAAAGTTCTTGCAAAATTCACGTTCGATAATGCTATCTGATGGGGCCACACCCCTTCAGGCATTCTTAAAAGCCATGAAACAGGAATCATAAATAGACACATTTTCTTTTTCTGTAGTTTCTATATGATTCATTTCTCAGAAGAGTTCCTTATAAATCTAGTGTGATAAACCACTGACTTAGAGCTATAAGCAGCCTAGGAGGAGACACACACACAAAAAAACCAAAATATAAACAACTGAATACATTCTTTCCTTTCAACATACAGCCAGGCAGAGACATCTTCCACCCTTTCAACCTTACGCCCCCAAAAGTAAAAGAGCTTACGTGTTCAGATTTCTCCTGTTCTTTTTTCTCCGTCTGCAGAAACTGACAGTTTTCTCTTGCCAGCTTCTGGACCAGTTCAATCCGTCCGATATCATCTCTCTCCTGAAGTTTGCACATCACCCCTGCCTTAAAAGTTGGAGAAAAAGTGAAGATATACTTAAATCCGCAGTCCCAGGACATGACACCACTGCAAAGTTCACTTTATGATAAGTTCATTTTTTCTCCTGTGGATTAGATGGTGGTCCTGGCAAAAGGCTTTGCTTTCCCCAGACTGAAAAAAATCTGTTTTTGAAATCTAGGAACAGATTAAATTCAGCTGTGCTCTGAGACAAACGTTAAGACAGTTTATCAGTCTACTTGAAGAGCACGAAGGGCACAGCGAACTAAAATATTTGCCACTAACGTGTGCTCCTGATATGCCACAATTTGTTCCTGACAGCCTGTTTCCTGTTACATAAGCGTAGCAAGAGGTTAAAAACTCATGGGAAAGTTAGCCAGGAACCACCCTGGCAGTAAGAGGGAAGTGATATGGAGTGTACTAAAAATAACAGGACACAACCTAATTCTTTTGCTCCACCAGATCATTCCATGTACAAATACACAGCTAAGAAGATCTTAAGATAATTTTTTTGACAACTGGAAAATTACTATGGGGTATTATTAGCAAAAGACCTCCAATACTGCATGAAATATGGTGGAAAAGTTTATTAAGTAGACTGGAAGAAGCATAAAATTTTATTAATTAGAGTTTGCAAACAATCTGAAAAGCATCATATATAAATCTACCTATCTATTTATATATTATATAAAATGTATATTTTATATATTTATAAACATATAATTACATAATAAATTATATTTTATATAAAATATATTTTATATCCAAATACATCATAATAGTAATATTAAGGAGGAATGTCTAGGACTTTAATTGGAAAGACTGTACAACACAAATTGTGCATTGTACAACACGAATTGTGCGTTGCTTTTGATCAAATTCTTCAAAAAACGACTCATAGTGACATATAGCGACTTGATCTAATAAAGAAATTTCTAAAGACCTATCTCAAACAGAAATGTGAATTCACATGTTAATGTCAGGAGGGAAGATAAAGAAGAGAGGGGAATATGCAGGAAAGTGCATATCCTGGCGTGGAGGGTCGGGGAGGGGAGGTGCATGTGGAAAATCTTTCTGGAAAGCTTCACAGAAAAATGTGAATTTAGTAGCAGAGAGTAAGCACTTTCAGAAGATGATGCTGGAGGTATGAGAGAGAGAGACAGAGACAGAGAGAAATAAGGAGGGAGGGGCAGAGTGAGAAAGAGAGACAGAGAGAAAGAGAGAGAGAGAGGGAGAGGGAGAAAGAACATGTAGTAGTATTTGAAGTTGCATGTGCTGGCAATATTTTTGTAAAGCACCAGCATGTAAATACAGTAAGTCCTCATTTAACATCATTGATGGGTTCTTAGAAATATCAACTTTAAGAGAAATGACATATTAAAGTCATGTTCTTGAAGAATATTGTTTCACTCAACATTCTTTGGGTTTTTTCCCCCCTACTACCGAGAGTATTGGATATGCCAGACACAGTAACAACAAAGTCTCCAATGGAGACGTTACTGGGCCCGCTCGAGCAAATCGACGATCAACGGGAGGGCTTTACCTTACCTTTACCTTACCGACACTGTAATGACAATGAATGAAATGTTATCTGGGGGGCTCCTACTATCCAGTGGCCCCTGGGATCTAAGTGACTCCCCTGTGTTATGATTTTGTGCAGAAAGGTGGCAAGAAATGATATATCAGTGAGTAAACTATGTGACAATAACAGTACTCATAGAAACATCTCCTCTACTGTGGTTTGTCAACTCCATGACCCAGAGAATGGGACAGTTGACACGGAAGTACAATACTATTTTCAGGCAATACCAAGGGCCCCTGTGATTTAATTGTGTGTGATGTAATTTAATTGGCCTCTTTCTGGAGCAAACTGTGGGTCAGGATTCCAGTGAAGCCATAAAGTCAAATATTTCTACTTAGATGGTTGAACATAAAGACTCTTTAAAACAATAGTAGAAAAATGCAAAACAAGATGAACTGTATCCTTTAAGTAGTTTAAATGAAGAGAACAGGGAAACTCTTTGGAGAACTTCTACATGCAAGTGGCTAATGTCCTTTAAATGTTCAGACACTTATAAGAACAAGTTTCTATTATCTAAGAGCATTTGTTTTTGTGGGCTTCGAGGATGTCTCTCCAGCCTTCTGTCCTTATAGGAAGTGCTTCCTCTGCTGGAGAGAGGCGCTGAAACCTCAGGATCTGCTGGCCTCTGTGCACTCCTTATGGTCCCCTACTTCCCAGGGAGCACTTTTGGATGGAGGTACCTTCGACAGTGGGACAGTTGACTGAGGCATCAGGGAACTGATGAGCATGTGGACTGAGTCTGTTACATTTCTCAGTAATGAAGCTTCCTTACTCCTGGGCTCAGGAAGTTGAGTCTTTCCCTCCATCTATGGGGTCCATCCAGATTTTGAATTTTCATTTTGCGTTTTTGGACCATGCCCATTGGTGCTCATGGCTCAACCTCTGACTCTGTGTTCAGGGAACACTCCTGGCAGGCTCAGGGGACTCTACGGGGTGCTGGGGATCAAATCTGAGTTGGCCTCGTGAAAGGCAAACAACCTATCCACTGTTCTATCACCCTGACCCTGACAAAGATTTTTAAGTGGGGGGCCCTAGGTAGGGCTTCGCTTGATTATGCTCTAGGAAGAGGTGGTTCAGGCCCAAAGATTCAGTGGTTGGTGATATGGTGATCTCGGGGACATGTAGGGCTGGGGGTCAGGCTCAAGGTCTTGGGCTATACTATGGCCTCTCCTCTCCCTCCATGTAAATTTTTACAAAACAGCAGACTTGTTTTTTAAATAGACTCTGAAAGGGTACTGGAACTTTGGTGGTGGCATGGCATGTTTACACTTGTGTAAATCAGCATTACCTCAGTTAAAAACAAATTAATAACATAAGACTAACTTCTAAGGATAGTAGAGATAAGGGCCAGGAGGATGGCTCCACTATTTGGAAGCCGGCCTCATGTGCTGGCAGAAAAGGCACTTGGGATGGAGAAGGGATCACTAACTCAATGATGGTTAGAAAGATCTCTCGAGATGGGAGATGTGTGCTGAAAGTAGACTAAGGATCAAACATGACAGCCTCTCAGTATCCGTATTGCAAACCATGATGCTCAAAAATAGAGAGAGAGAGAGAGAGAGAGAGAGAGAGAGAGAGAGAGTAAGAAGGAAGGTGCCTGCCACAAAGGCAGGGGGTGGGTTGGGGTGGGGGTGGCAGGAACATTGGGAACATTGGTGGTGGAAAATGTGCATTGGTGGAGGGATGGGTGTTCGATCATTGTATGACTGAAACGCAATCATGAAAGTTTGTAACTGTATCTCACTGTGATTCAATAATAATAAAAAAAGGTTAAGACAAAGCTTACATAAAAAACAACCCGTAATAAAAGTAGAGGAAATATTAGAAACTGGGACCATTTTGTTTGCTTCTATGTAGATTTTTAAGTCACTCTAAACATCCTTGATATCATGTTAAGATCAGTCGGCTGTGTGCAAGGTAAATGCCTTCCCTGCTATATTATCGCTCTGGCCCCTGTTAAGGTATATAAAGGTATATCTGTATATACCTTTGCTTCATGAGGAAATATATTTTTAATAAGGCTGGAGCGATAGCACAGCAGGTAGGGCATTTGCCTTGCAGGCGGCCGACCTGGCCATCCAGAGTTTGATTCCTCTGCCCCTCTTGGAGAGCCTGGCAAGCTACCGACAGTATCTCACCCACACGGCAAAGCCTGGCAAGCTACCTGTGATGTATTCGATATGCCAAACTCTTTATCAATAAGTCTCACAATGTTACTGGGCCCACTCAAGCAAATTGATGAACAACGGGAGGACAGGGATGGTGACAGTGACAGTGATTGAACATATGCATTATGTATTTTGTTATTGTATTAATTTTATTGTTTGTGTGTGGGGGTCACACTCGGAGCTGTGGTGTACTCAGAGGTCACTCTGGGAAGGGCTGGGAACCATATGGGGTGCACATGACAAGTATTTTAACCCCAGCACTAGCCCTTGAGCCCACAAATCAGCATTTTAAGCACAAGTCCAGGAATGAGACAGTGACAGGAGGTTCCCCACTTCCTTCCTTCCCCATAGGCACACCAACCGACAGGGAGGCCATGGACACCACAGGACATCCTGCAGTCAGAGTCCCACAAGGGTCCTAGTGATGGGGAGAGTCACCATCCCTCCACAGAAGCAGGGACCTGGGAGACAGGGCAAAGGAGCCAGCACAGATTATACCTCCATTGTTCAGGTGAGGCCAACAGAAAAAGCTGGGGTGCTTGGCACAGACTGGACACGAGACCATGAACGCAGGACACAGAGAAACCCACTAGCCTTCAGCCTATTAAACTGTGAACCGTGACAGTATGGCCATGTAAGTGAAAGTGGGCGTCACGTCAGAGACCACGGTGAAAGATCTCTGAATGCACAATAATGAAAAATTTAAGGAAACGTCAACCTTGCCAAGTAGCTGGCAAGCACACGCCTGTTGCATTTCTTGGGCGAAAAGGGGTCAAAAGAAGTTGGGTGATACTACAGTGTTTGATCCCTCGCACCCCAAGCTTCACCAGGAAGATCCCTGAGCAGAAAGCTAAGTGTAAGTCTTGTACATGGAGGTGGGAGGGATGGAGGGTAGAGGGGGGTGGGGGGTGGGGAGGATGGCTGGAATGGAAACAGCTTTAGAATCACAAGAGCCACTAGACCTCTCCATGACCCCTCCCTGAACCTGCTGCCACGACTTTTGTAGCTACAAAATTTCAGTTCCTACGGAATGTAGGGGCTGGAGCGATAGCACAGTGGGTAGGGCATTTGCTTTGCACGTGGCTGACCCGGGATGGATTCTTCCGCTCCTCATATTCAATGTGCCAAAAACAGTAACAACCAGTCTCACAATGGAGACGTTATTGGTGCCCGCTCGAGCAAATCGGTGAACAACAGGAGGACAGTGCTACAGCTTGGAAGCTAGCAAAAGTAAAAGATTAAAAAAAAAAAAAAGATA